GTGGGCGCTGACGCAGAAGATGACGTGGAAGATGACGCGGAAGTCGATGAGGACGTTTGGAGTGACTCTGACGATGACGACAATGAGGGTTTCAGCACGGACGGCAATGATGATGATGATAATCGTTTCGAAAATGATGGCTTCGAAAGTGGTGATTTCGAAAATGATGGTTTTGAGAACATTGATTCTGACAATGGTGGTTTCGAATCCGATCTCGGCTCGGGATCGGACTGGGATTCGGATTCGGATATCGATCCGGATTTCGATCTGAGCGACATATTCGCGTACGAGAGGGAGGGTTCCGCGATGGTGCCGCTGCCAGTGAGGGAGGCGCGATTGGTGGATGAACTGCTGACGTGGATGGAGAGGCACGGGGACCAATCGAAGGAAGGCGGCGGGCTGCGATCAAAGATTCAGGTGAGTGAGACTGTATGGATATGGCTATTGGAAGAAAGCTTGAATCCTCAATATATTAACTCTCTTGAATATCCCTCCCATGCCTCCATGCGTATCCTTCCCTTCCCCACACTCCTTTCCCCTACAACCCTCTCTCTCCCCCCCTCTCCTCCCTCCCCCCCTTTTCCCCCTCCTTCCCCTCCCCTCCTTCCTTCCCCCCTTCCCCCCTTCCCCACCTTCCCCCACTTCCCCCCCAGGTCCTCGCCATTACCAGCCCCGCTTTCTACTCCTGCGCTCCCCCCACCCCCCCTCTCCCCTCCCGCCTCCCCCTCGGAATCCTCTCCTCCTCCCACACCGCCCCTGGCTCCACCCTCATCCCCATCCCCTTCCCCCTGTGGCTCTCCAAACGCCACGGCGGCTGGGACTCGCGCCTGAATCGCCCCGCCTCTCCTCCCCCCGCTCCTTACAAGCACGCGGGGGACGATGTGACTGTAGCCGCGTGGCTTCTAAGGGAGTGGAAAAGGGGTTCTGCGTCGTTTTATGCCCCGTGGATTAATCTCCTGCCGGGCTATGTACCACTGCCTATTTTCTGGGACGAGGGGACATTACAGGAGTTAGATAGTGGGGAGATGGTAGAGAGGGTTGAGGAGTCGTTGAGGTATGTTGAGGAAGCGTACTCTCTTTGCTCTCCTGATTCCATCGCTGGGGCTTCTCTAGACGATTTTAAATGGGCGGTCTCGATCGTGTGGTCGCGATCTGTGCCGATCTCGGCCGTTGGTTTGAAGGACAGGGAGAAACGGGGGAAGCGGAGGGGGAAGGGGGGGAAGGGAAGGAAGGGGAAGAAGGGAAGGGGAAGTGGAGAGGGAGGAGGGAAGGGAGAGCAGGAGGAGGCGGACGAGGAGGATTTTTGGCAGTATATGGAGGAGGAGGCGGAGGGGGAGGAGGAGGAGGGAGAGGGGGGGGAAGGGGTGGGGGAGGAGGGGGAAGAGGTACACATGCTGCTGCCGCTGTTGGATCTGTTCAACCATGAGTTCTACTACACGGCAGACTGGCAGGTACAGGCAGGTACAGGCAGGTACAGGCAGGCACGGGCAGGTACAGGTACAGGCAGGTACAGGCAGATCAGAAATCTTGAAGTTGTGACGTATTGACGGATACTGGCACGCATTGCTTCTTCTCCCTGCCTCCATCGCCTTCCCTTATGTCATGCCACCCCTGCCATCCACCTCTTGTTCTTCTCTCTTTTATTCCCTCCCTCCCATTTTCTCCCCATCCTCCTCCCCCTTCTTCGCCTCCCCCCCCCCTTTCCGGCCTCTTCCCCTTCTCCCCCCCTCCCCCCCTACCTCCCCTCCCTGCCTCGTCAGCCCACCATCCACTCCTCCACCGCTGACATCAACATCTTTGCTGCTGACGTCATCTCGCCAGGCGGGCCAATCAGCGTGGGCTATGGCTCCATGGACAACGCCCAGTTCCTTCTTCTGTACGGCTTCGTGCCGCCCAACAACCCGTTTGACCGATTCGTCCTTTTTGAAAACACTGCAGAGCTCCTTGACTACTATGAGACAAAATACTTGGCTGCAGCTACAGAAGGCACGTTAGAAGGAGTGGATTCTGGCACTGGTGCTGTAGCTGGTACTGATGGTGATAAAGGAACGGATTTTAGTGAGAAATACCCGTGGCTGACTGGCTCGTTTGATCGAGACTTGGCCGCAGCTTTGGTAACGACTGCCATATCTGCGGTGGAGGCTCGGCAACCGCACTACACAGCCGAGCATGAGTTGGATCAGCAGCTGTTAGGCATGGCAGCGGGTGCGGTGGGAGGCTCGGAAGCACTGGCGATAGGCAGGGAGGGGTATGTGGATGCCCGTCTGCTGGCCGCTCTCGCTGCACTCAGCCAGTCCTCACGTGGTGAGTTTCTAATTTCTTGGCATGGCAAGGCCCGGATTGAGGCGATAGGCAGGGAGGCATATGTGGATGCTCGTCTGCTGGCCGCTCTGGCTGCCCCCAGCATGTCCTCACATGGTGTGACTTATATTCACTTGGCATGGCAAGGTCTGGATTGAGGCATTAGGCAGGGGGGGGTACGTGGGTGCTCGTCTGCTGGGTGCTCTGGCTGCTCTTGGCATGTCGGCGCATGGTGAGTCGAGTCGTCAATCACTTGCCATCGTAAGGGGAGAAGTATGGCTCGGAAGCACTGGCGATAGGCAGGGAGGGGTACGTGGATGCCTGTCTGCTGGCCGCTCTGGGTGCACTCAGTGGGTGCTCACTGCTCACATGGTGAGTCGTCAATTTTGCAGGGTGTTTTTGAGAATTCTTAAAAACACCCTGCAAAATCATGGCCGCGCTGGGTGCACTCAGTGGGTGCTCACATGGTGAGTCGTCAATTTCGTACCTTCCCAAATATTTAGTGACGGGTATGTGGATGCGCGTCTTTTTGCAGCTCTGGCAGCACTCCTAATCTCCTGGTATGGTGGGCCTTTAAGGGTTCAGTATGGCTTAAGAAATCCTTACCCTTGGAGGCTTCCGGAGAGTTAAGTATGGCTCGGACGGTCATGAATAGGCAGGTAGGGGTGTGTGGATGCCCATGCCTGTTAGTTCGCAGCTCTGGCAGTGTTCGTGATTCGCTGGTATGGTCAGCTTCCAAGTCTTTGCTCTTTAAGGGGTGAGTATGGCTTGGGGGGGTTATCAATAGCCAGGACGGGGCATGTGGATGCTCAGCTGGTCGCTGCTCTAGCAGCCTGCGGCCATGTTCTCTCCTGGTAAATCTTCAATCATTTGCGATTGTAAGGGGTGACGTATGGCTTGGAAGGTCTCTTTCAAGGACGGGGCATGTGGATGCTCAGCTGGTCGCTGCTCTGGCTGCAATAGACTTCGTGAGGTTTAGTTTACAGAGGCGCTGCGCTGAAGGGCTGACCATAGACCAAGAGGGGTATGTGAAAGCACTGGGAGCACTGGGAGCACTGGGAGCACTGGGAGCACTGGGAGCACCAGCACCAAGAGTGCAGCAGGAACAGGTGCAACTGAAGCACAGCTCCTTTCATTTTGGCTGATAACAAGGAGTCTATTTTTGAGCCGCCTAAAAAATAACAAGGATGCAAACGGGGCTGGTTTGTCAGCAGTAATGCAAGCAGCGACGATTCCTAGTTGGGTGTGAGAATTCTCAGGAGCTAATCCAACCATTCCACGCAATGCAGAAGGAGGAAAGGGAGCAACAAAACAGGCCGTAGCAACAACCATTGTGGAAGCGCTCTGATGCACAGGAGCTGCTGCACTACACCCGGTGCGAGGTCCATGCATGAGTCGACTCAGACGCTAAATGGGGCGAAGGCTTTTATGGTACCCTGAGATGGTACCCTGAGATGGTACCCTGAGATGGTACCCTGAGATGGTACCCTGAGATGGTACCCTGAGATGGTACGGAGTAGTACGTATGGGGAAGCGGATGAGAGGAACTTTTGAGGCGCCTCAAGAGTAGTACGTATGGTACAGATTAGTACGTATGGGGGAAGCGGATGAGAGGAACGGCAGGTAGTTGGCCATTGCGCTGAATGCCCTCCACTTCTGCCATTTGCTGCCCCATGGCCTTTTCCCCGAACAGCATATCCATCTGCTGAATCGACTCATGGATGGACCTCACAACTGCGGAGTGCAACGGCTCTTGCGCATCACAGTGTTTGCCATGATGTTGCAGCAGCGCCACAAATTGCTGCTCTCTAACCTAATCACCTGCTCTTGTCTTGCATACCTGTGTCATTTGGATACAACGACAACCCAACCCTTTCTATCTCCATTGACCCGTCTTCTGTTCCCTCACTCCCCCTTCCTCCCCCCTCCCCCCCCCCCCTCCCCCTCACCAGACACTGCCTTGGACTCTCAGGCCTTAGCAGAGGCCATTCTGCGTTTCGTATTTCGAGGCGGGGTCACCTGTGATTCTTTGAAGCAGCAGCAGGTGTACCATTTGGCAGTTGTGGAAGCACCAGCAGCCTCCGCAGGAAGAGGAGGGGGGAGGAGGGAGCAGGAGGGAAGGGTGATGGAGGAAGATCAGGCAACAGTGCAGTGGATGCAGCAGCACGCTCTGCAATGCTCGCAGGGTCCATAATACGAGCTGTTGACGTGTTACGTAACATTCTGCATGCTACACTACACGGATTCAGCAGCACGTTTATCGACGATTATAACCTGCTAAAGAGGACGCTTGTAGGGGACGCCTCGTGTGACACAGGTGATCGAGGAAGGGGGGGAAAGGAGGAGAGTGGAGGGAAGGGGTATAGCAGCAATGGAGATAGAATAGCCAGCAGCAGCAGCAGCAGCAGCAGCAGCAGAAGTGACAGAAGCGGCAGCAGCAGCAGCAGCTGCAGCAGCAAGGAGAGGGTGGGTCAGAGTGAAGGGACATGTGGAGTGCCTGTGTTGCAGCTACCAGAGGAGAAGGTTCAGGCCATTAAGTACCGGCTCTCAGCTAAGCAACTGCTGCTACGAGCACTTAGCTTCTTAGAGGATGCTTGTCCACAAGAGGAATCGAGTGATGGTGATGGTAATGAGTCGGAGTATACAGAGGATGCAAGTGCAAGCCGTGCATGACAATGCTCTCCATTGTCTTTTCTGAAATGAATGAATTGTTGATGTTCCTCTACATGGTAAAATGTTGTACACAGAAATGTTGTACTGTACGTGATGATTTGGTATGTTACTATATGGTATGCGTTGCGCATCACAGCAAGAACTAACCATCCATCCATCCACCTATGCGTTCGGCTTGGGCTCCTTCGCCTTGACAATAATCACAGGGCAAGCGCTGCCACGGGGTAGCGGAGTAACAAGGGAAATACAGGAAGGGCGGCGGGGGAAGAACAGGCAGAGGGAGGAGCAAGGAGCAGCAGAGGGAGGAGAGATGGAATTGGTTAGAGGGAGCACAGGGCATGCAGTGCCATGGGGATTCAAGAAGCACACACCCAGCCGAAAGAAGCTTGAGGGACGTGCCCAGAAAACCTTGGAAAATGATCACAGGGCATGCGCTGCCAAGGAACAAGAGGAAGCACAGAGAAACATGCAGACACTCGTGCGTCTGAACTGAAGTGTGCACAAAAAATGACTAGTTTTTTAGGTGCCTCAAAATGCGACGATTTTTTAGGCGCCAAAAAAATTATCGCGAATGAACCCACCTGTGGTGTGCGCAGTATTCGCTAACAGAGCCAAGCAGAGCCCTGCAGGCAGAGAGAGTGGGTGGCGGGACAAGGAGAGTGTGGGTAACAGCAGGGGTGGAGCGAGAGGAAAGGCAACGGGGAGCGGGGGGAAAGGCAAGGGGGAGCAGGGGGAAAGGCAAGGGGGTGCGGGGGAAAGGCAAGGGGGAGCGGGGGGAAACGCAAGGGGGAGCGGGGGGAAACGCAAGGGGGAACGGGGGGAAAGGCAAGGGGGAGCGGGGGGAAAGGCAAAGGGGAGCGAGGGGAAAGGCAAGGGGGAGCGAGGGGAAAGGCAAAGGGGAGCGAGGGGAAAGGCAAAGGGGAGCGAGGGGAAAGGCAAAGGGGAGCGAGGGGAAAGGCAAAGGGGAGAGAGGGGAAAGGCAAAGGGGAGCGGGGGGAAAGGCGAACGGGAGCGAGGGGAAAGGCAAAGGGGAGGGAGGGGAAAGGCAAAGGGGAGCAGGGGGAAACGCAAGGAGGGGCGAGAGAGGGGGGGGATAAGGTGTGGGCGAGGAGAGGGGCGGAAGGAGAGGAGAGAGAGAGAGCGAAAATAACACTAGTGATCAAAGCCTTTAACCAGACACGATTACACAGAAACACTCAGCGAGTCAGTGAAAAGACTGGCAGAATAAAAGCTCACTTCTTGACTGGAGATAGCCCCCGCGTGCCCACTATTAGCACGTCTGCACACACTCTCATCACTTCCCTGCAGATCACCTCGCGCTCATCCCCCACCGCTATCTTCCAGTCGCAGTCCAGCTGGGAACCAAACGGGAAAAGGGAGACAGAAAGCGCAGGAGAAAGGTCACCGACTCGAACAGCAAACCACCTCGCGCTCATCCCCCACCGCTATCTTCCAGTCGCAGTCCAGCTGGGAACCAAACGGGAAAAGGGAGACAGAAAGCGCAGGAGAAAGGTCACCCTTATACGACTCGAACAGCAAACCACCTCGCGCTCATCCCCCACCGCTATCTTCCAGTCGCAGTCCAGCTGGGAACCAAACGGGAAAAGGGAGACAGAAAGCGCAGGAGAAAGGTCACCCTTATACGACTCGAACAGCAAACCACCTCGCGCTCATCCCCCACCGCTATCTTCCAGTCGCAGTCCAGCTGGGAACCAAACGGGAAAAGGGAGACAGAAAGCGCAGGAGAAAGGTCACCCTTATACGACTCGAACAGCAAACCACCTCGCGCTCATCCCCCACTGCTATCTTCCAGTCGCAGTCCAGCTGGGAACCAAACGGGAAAAGGGAGACAGAAAGCGCAGGAGAAAGGTCACCCTTATACAACTCGAACAGCAAACCACCTCGCGCTCATCCCCCACCGCTATCTTCCAGTCACAATCCTGCTGTGAGCCCAGGAGGAGAAGAAACACGGGGAGCAATGGGGAGCAATGGGGAGCAATGGGGAGCAATGGAGAGCAATGGAGATAGGTGGAGACAGGTGGAGAAAGGTGGAGACAGGTGGAGACAGGTGGAGTCAGGTGGAGAAAGGTGGAGACAGGTGGAGACAGGTGGAGACAGGTGGAGACAGGTGGAGACAGGTGGAGACAGGTGGAGACAGGTGGAGACAGGTGCAGACAGGTGGAGACAGGTGGAGACAGATGGAGACAGGTGGAGACAGGTGGAGACAGATGGAGACAGGTGGAGACAGATGGAGACAGGTGGAGACAGGTGGAGACAGGTGGAGACAGGTGGAGACAGATGGAGACAGGTGGAGACAGGTGGAGACAGGTGGAGACAGGTGGAGACAGATGGAGACAGATGGAGACAGGTGGAGACAGGTGGAGACAGGTGGAGACAGGTGGAGACAGGTGGAGACAGGTGGAGACAGGTGGAGACAGGTGGAGACAGGTGGAGACAGATGGAGACAGGTGGAGACAGGTGGAGACAGGTGGAGACAGATGGAGACAGGTGGAGACAGATGGAGACAGGTGGAGACAGGTGGAGACAGGTGGAGACAGGTGGAGACAGGTGGAGACAGGTGGAGACAGATGGAGACAGGTGGAGACAGGTGGAGACAGGTGGAGACAGGTGGAGACAGGTGGAGACAGGTGGAGACAGGTGGAGACAGGTGGAGACAGGTGGAGACAGATGGAGACAGGTGGAGACAGGTGGAGACAGGTGGAGACAGGTGGAGACCGGTGGAGACAGGTAACATCTATGGATCACTAACCGCCTTGAGATGAACATTAATCAGCACACGCGTGCCCATTATAAGCATATCCGCTCTGTAAGCCCACTCAAATCCGCTGTAGAAGCGGACCCACATATGCTGTATAAGCGCACTCACATCCGCCACGGCGCATTTCTTCATGTACTTCTCCACTATAACCCGCGCTGCTGCCTCCGACTGCTGCTCCAACGTCTCTATGGCGTCTGCAGGGAGTTTCCCCTCCATGTCTGGGGGGGAAAAGAGGGGGTGGGGGAGGAAGGAGGGGGTAGCAAGTAAGAGAAGGAGAAAGCCTTCTGGCAAAACAGGCTGCTGCTCCAACCGCTTGATGGCGTCTGCAGGAAGCTTGCCCTCCATTTCTGGGAGAAAAACGGATTTGGGGGGAAGGGGGGAAGGGCGGGGGAGGAGGGATGGAGTGGAGAGGGATTGAGCGGATGCGGAACCGCTGGGGATGCTCTGAGTGCTGCCACGTCTCCATGGCATGGCACCAGTTGGGAGGGGGAGGGGGGAGGAAAGGGGGGGGGCGAGGGGGGTGGAGAGAGATTGGGCAGTTGCAGAAGCATTTGGGATGCCTCTGATTGCGGCCTCTGATTGCTGCCTCTGATTGCGGCCTCTGATTGCGGCCTCTGATTGCGGCCTCTGATTGCTGCCTCTGATTGCGGCCTCTGATTGCGGCCTCTGATTGCTGCCTCTGATTGCGGCCTCTGATTGCGGCCTCTGATTGCTGCCTCTGATTGCTGCCTCTGATTGCGGCCTCTGATTGCTGCCTCTGATTGCGGCCTCTGATTGCTGCCTCTGATTGCGGCCTCTGATTGCTGCCTCTGATTGCGGCCTCTGATTGCTGCCTCTGATTGCTGCCTCTGATTGCTGCCTCTGATTGCGGCCTCTGATTGCTGCCTCTGATTGCGGCCTCTGATTGCTGCCTCTGATTGCTGCCTCTGATTGCGGCCTCTGATTGCGGCCTCTGATTGCTGCCTCTGATTGCGGCCTCTGATTGCGGCCTCTGATTGCTGCCTCTGATTGCGGCCTCTGATTGCTGCCTCTGATTGCGGCCTCTGATTGCTGCCTCTGATTGCTGCCTCTGATTGCTGCCTCTGATTGCGGCCTCTGATTGCTGCCTCTGATTGCGGCCTCTGATTGCTGCCTCTGATTGCTGCCTCTGATTGCTGCCTCTGATTGCGGCCTCTGATTGCTGCCTCTGATTGCTGCCTCTGATTGTTGTTTTACCGTCTCTATGGCGTCTGCAGGGAGTTTGCCCTCCATTTCTGGAAGGCAAAACAGGGGGTGGGTGGGAGGGGGGATGGAGAGAGATTGGGCGGTTGCAGAAGCATTTGGGATGTCTTGAGCGCCGCCAACGTCTCTATGGCGTCTGCAGGGAGCTTGCCCTCCATGCCTGAGGAAAAACGGGTCGGTGGGAATGGGGGGAAGGGGGGATGAGGGAGGGGGACAGAGGGGGGATGGCGAGGGATTGAATGCTGACACTTCCCCATGGCATCTGGCAGCAGCTTGCCCGCATGTCTGGGGGGGAAAAAACACGAGGAGGACGCGAGGGAACAAAATAAATAAGATTAACAGCCTAAAAAAATAAGAAAATGTATTTCTAGGTTTAGGTGTGGGAACAACAATCAAACGCGTGCAAGGAAGGGGGAAGATAGCAGGGGAAGTGAGGGAGCCGGGGGAGGAGGGGGGGAAGAGGTAAAGAGGGAAAACAGTGAAGTGCATTGTGCACAGATCACTTACCAGCGAATGATTTCCGGACATGGATGAGTCGCACGTGGTCCTGCGGCTTGCAGTAGTTCCTTAAAGCCCAGTTGAACGCGAGCTCTGAACCTGGCAGCACACGAGGGACAGAGGCAAGTGCGTCAAGGCGTGACTTGGGACGCCTCAAAACCCGTGGTCCTGCAGCTTGCAGTAGTTCCTTGCATGAGAGGGAGAGTGGCAGGAGTCAGGCAAATGAACCCACGGCTGACTGGCTCTCTGAATTCGAAGGGGAAACTGGGCGAGTGGGGAGCGAGGGAGGAGGGGAAGGAGAGGAGGGGAAAGGGAGGAGGGGAAGGGGAGGAGGGAGAAGAGGTGAAGGGAAACGGGAAAGAAGGGCGAGGGAGGGATTGAGGGCGGAAGGTGGAAGGGAGAGAAGGAGGGGGGGAAGAGTGTGTGTTGAAAAGAGGGAGTGTGTAACGTACAGTCGCTTCCATCCACCGCTATAAGCACCTCCCGCTGTTCACTCGTAAGGAGCTGCTCCATCGTTATAGCTCCTCCTCCTGCTGGTGGTGGTGCTGCTGCTGCTGCTGCTGTAGCAGCTTTTACACCCACAGCGATAACTCCGCGAAGTCAAGCTTGTTAAAGCCGACACTACCGCTACAGCTGACAAGACTGTCTCTGCTGGCTACCGCAACCGCAGCTACAGCAGTAGCAACAATCGGGTACTCGCCGAGGAGTCTACTCGCTGCTGCTACAGCCAGCAGAAGCTAGCCGCTACGTCAAACGACGCTACAGCCGTAGGATCGGCCCGGTGGACGATGACGAGCGTGCCAGCTGCTGCTACAGTGGTAGAAGCTGGTGGCTTTGCCAAACGAACTGCCGGCCGCTACAGCTGGATGGGACGCAAGCTCGTTCGACCCAGCCGGATAAGGTTCGAACTTCGGATGTACCCTGTGTAAGCAGTCTAACGAATGGAACCCATATTGTGCACGGACGAACGGAGATTTTATGGACGGATAGCAGAACGCAGCCGACTCTAAGAGTTTTGTTCTTAGCGACCTTGATAAAGACCTTGATAAGGCTGAAGCCGGAATTGATCGTAGAGTGAATCTAAGATTTATGCACAGGTAATGTACACGCACTGGGCCACTTGATACACGGAGACTCGGCTGAGAAGAAAGTCCGCAGCAACACGTGGAGTCGGCCACTGGGTGTCAAGTGGCTGACAACGGCTCAGGGCCTGGTGGTCTAAGTGCTGCCTGCGCATACTTCCTAGGTCAGGTTATGAATCCCGCCCTTGGGATTGGTTGTGGCTAGTCTGTGTGCACTGCACTGCCAAAGTCAAACCCCTGCATGCTATGCCTGACACTAACACCTGTTACATAGAACTACTTCTGTAAGGATTTTTCCATTCCTTACCGAGCGGTACCGCTACCGCGTACGCTCGAACCACCTCGGCTTCTCCAGACCTTCCGGTTCGACCTTCGGAAGTTCTCCGGGCCTCGCTTCGTCACTTCGAGACCCTTCGATCTCCTTCCCGAACCTTCACATCTCATGGTTGGACTAGCTCTGGTGTTCCTATATCTTGGCTTGCCATTCCTTGTATCGTCCAGTGATTCAACACTTCGTTATTAATTTCCGTGCTACTCTGCTTGTTCATTCATAACAACTTCTATGTTACAAATGTACCTCTGCATGTAAGGATTATGCAACCTACTCCTAGACACTATGTGTGTTTTCTCTGCTTCACAAAAGAAAATAAAATCACATATTATCTTTAATTCAGTAGTGCCATCAAATTAATGTGAACGCCTAACAAAATCCACATATCAGAATAATGAAATCATATGTGGGAGCATAATCAGTATATAATGTTATATCTGGGTTATTTTATATCATGTAACTCAAATATAAGCCAATTTGTTCCTGTAAAACTTGACATCCCTAACCTTCTCGATATATGCCGACAAGTGGCTTGTGAAAATGTATCCCTCTTCTAGTAACTCGGATAGCACTTGTAACGGGATTTTTCCGCGACAAACAATTTGGTAGCTGGTGGCAAAGCTCGCCGCCTGCAACTTTCGCACACACGAACCTAGCGTCTGACACTGTAACCAGACGCGAGCTCCACAGCTGCGTCTCGAGCAAAACCCTAAAACGTTCTCGGATTCCTCTGGTCGAGGTTTGCTTGGAGATGGACTTGTGGAGTACACCGTGGTGGATGTGTTGAGGTTCCAGCGCGCCAGTGATTGGCTGCTTGCTTCCGCCAAATCCTGACTTGGTTGCCCAGAAGCCACCATGCTTCATTGCCTGTCGGTCTCGGTCTGCCCGCAGAGAATGCTCGTCACAGCCACTAGGCCTCCCTTCGTGTCCGATATGACCGTCACTCCGGCTGTCGCAGACGTCACGGTCAGTCAGAAACCTCCAAGTGACCGAGTAACCGACATCTGTCAAGTTTCCATCCCATTTGGGTCATCCATCGTTGTGGCCACATCCTCCCGCCCGGCCTGCGCAAACCGACCCCCGAATCACCACCATACTGTATGCGCACATCCCCTGCTTTCGGCGGAGCCTTTTCCAGCCCGCCTGCTCCAAGCCTCCACCCAAGACTCTCCAGCGCCCACCACGGGAACGCGTAGGCCGAAAGCCATGCGCCAGGACTGTGGAAATGACTGACGGATTCTGTGAAACGAACAGCACGCGCAGAGAGCTAGGTGTGGGGAACTTGACGGAGAGGCCAAGGCATGGGAGATCAGGTGGGGAAAATCTAGGTTGTCTTGCTGCTGCTGCTGTGGCTCCCTTCTTGCCACCACAACAACGAGAGTTTCGCGTTCCGCAATTTACGGCATTGCAACCTCAGCCTTATTCTTGCACAGTAAGAGCACGCTCGTCACAGCATTTTTTCCAGCTTTGTGCACGCGATATTGTGTTAAGAACTCTGGAGTAGTTTGAGGTCTGTCTAAGCCGAATCTTGGTCATCGTAGAGTGGAGTCCTGATGAGCTTGTAGAACAGGTCTTGGACAGCTTGTCCGTCGTAACCTTTCGAGCAGCCACTCCTTTTTGCCTGACTCCTCCCTAACAGCGGTCCTTTTATATCTCGCTTCTTGCTGCAGCCTTCGTGCGAGTCCCCGCGAAGCTCTTTCGCGAAAATGCCGCCGCCAGTCGTACCAGCCGTGCCGGCCGCGGGTCACTCCCTGCACGACATCGAGGGAGTTTGTGACTATTGCGGGGAGCCGTGTGATAGTACGCAGGACGAGCTAAACGCGCTCGCTTGCACGTTTGAAGGATGTGCGAGCTCCGGCGTGTACCATCAACACTGCATCGAGGCGTTTCTTAAGAGCATCCGCCTGGACAAGTATGGCTCGCAAACAGACGCCTTTAGGTTATTCTTCGATAGCATTTAGAATACTTCTCGCTACTTCTAGTAGCTGTTGGGAAGTAGAAGGATCTGTACCTTAGCCAGTGACAGAACTCGGTAGTACATTGGAATCACCGGAGCCTGGTTTTGAGAAGCCTCAAGACTAAACTACTTCTGAGACGGCTCAGAAGGATCTGTACCTTAGACGCGAGACGGCTCAGAAGGATCTGTACCTTAGACGCGACAGAATACGGTAGTATATGGGAGATACCGGAGCCGGATGATCCGTCACGGCTCGAAGGCTTTCGAACGCCGTCTTTGTAAATCGTTAGTCCTAGTTTTCCGCCTCGTCAGGCCTAGTTTTCCGTCGGCTACCGTTTCGGCGTCGGACATCGTTGCAGTCAATGCATCCTGGTGGACGTGGCTCTCCGAACTTGCAGCTCGCTTTTGCCTGTTTTCGTCATCATAGATCATAAGTTACAATGTTCGGCTATAGGCCCAGCATAGTTTACCGGACTCACGCAACATGCCGAAGCGATTCACAGACTGTCTCTTTTCCCCGCAAGAACCGCTTCTCGAAAAGATCCTTGAAATATGACCTATTATAATCTTTGTTTTTGAAACCGCTGCATCCCAATAGTTTTTTTCATCCATCCACTATCTTAGCCCTCACTGTCTTCCTTTTTCGTCCTACTCACACACCCCCTTCCCAAAATCCGTCTTGACAACCCCTTTCCGATTATGACACTTGCTTTCGTCACTACTCATTTTATCGCAGGCAACGAAAGACGGGTTTTCAATGCCCACGTGGCAATGGCAAAGCGACGAAGTTTGACAAGCCGTGTCCTGGACGAGTAAGCCTCTCTTCCCTGCTTCCTTTCCCATATCCCGTATTTTACGTCCACGCTTGTACGTTAATGATTTCGGTGCTTCTTGCTCTTTTATATGAAGTAGCTTGACGACGAATATCAACCAATCCTAAACAATATAATTCGTCATCTCACTTCTTATTTTTATTGTATCATTCCGCGCCGTCCTGCATTCGTATGATAGCGTTTAGACATTGGCTCATCTGTCCTCCCCTGCTGCTTATGCCACCGTCCCTCCCCTCCAGTCGCTGTTAATTTTATCCGCGTGTTTATTCTCATTCCTTTCGTTTTATCTGGTTGTCTTCGTCCCTCCCCTCCGCGTTTTGGTCAATATTCCCCCCTCCATGCGTGTACCCTTGTCCTCCGTACGCTGTACCGTATACTCCCTCTCATCCATGCACCCATCTCCGTGTCTCTCATCCGTGCGTTTCTCTCCTTCCCTCTTTCGCGGCGCTTCAACCTCTCCAGATCACCAAGTCGCATCCAATTCATGCACGGAACGAGAACAGGTGCAGCCTCTTTGCTCCTGCACTCCGTCTTTCCCCCTGCCTCCATTTCCCCTTCTTTATAGTCCTGCCAAATGCGGTTTTGCTGTACCCGAATGTGTGCGAATGCGTGTTTCCCGTCGTTGCCGGCTCCCTTGTCCACCGGAATTACTGTCGGGCCGAAACATGTGTTCCTCGTTCGTCGCGCGCTTTTAAACGGACCCCCACGCGCTTTTCAACTTGCATCTCGTTCGCTCCCCCACCCATGTCTACACTCTCCTCGTTCGTTGCAGCAAGACGCACCGCAAGGCCAAGATGCCCCAGCCCCGTCCAACCCTCCCTTTTTTTTTTGGTTTCTTCTCTTCTGCTTCCCCCGCTCTCCACACTGCACAAGGAGCGCCGCAAGGCCACGATGCCGGGCCCCTTCTAGCCCCTCTTTTTTAGATGCCTCAAAACGAGTCCTTCCTTTCTCTTCCGCCCCCCCCCCCACTCTCCTGTTTCCAGCAAGAAGCGGCGCAAGGCCAAGATGCCGGAGCCCCCTCCCCTCTTTTTTAGATGTCTCAAACTACTTTCTCTTCCGCCCACCCCCCCCGCTCTCCTCACTGCAGCAAGAAGCGGCGCAAGGCCAAGATGCCGGAGCCCCCTCCAGCCCCTGTGGGAGCGGCGGGGAAGAAGGGCGGCAAAGGCAAGGACGACAAAAAGGCCGACAGTAAAGCCGTCGACGGGAAAAAGGAAGGGAAGGCAGCGGATAGCAAAAAGGAGGGCAAGTCGAAATCGTCATTCTTGGTGCCCTCCTCTTCCTCCAAGTCCTCTGCTTCTGCACCGGCTGCACCCGCCGCCCCCGCGCCAAAGCCCACCGTTGCTCTGCTCGTCCGCTCCTCGCTACCACCAGCTGCCAAGGCTGCCGCTAAGTCCTCGTCTGCTGGGACCGACCCTCTTTCCCCGTCGTCTAAGAGCGGGGGTATAGGCTCGTCCGGTGCTGGTGCTAGTGGTGGCGGGAGTGGGGGAGTGGCTGTGAAGGTTTTGTCAAAGTCCTGGAGTGCTGCTGCTGCGGGGCTGAAGGATGCTGCGGCGGCTGCTGTGGGTAGTGTGAGCGGTAGCAGCGGCAGTGGCGGTGGCGGTGTGCCTGTGAATGCGTGGTCGTCGTCGCCTGGCATTGTGTCCGCACCATCCAAAGGGAAATCCTCGGAGGTAAGTCATGTGTGAGTGAGCCTTGTTGCTCCTGCTCGTTGGTAGTGTGGCAGCAGCAGTAGTGTTAGTAGTGTTAGTAGTGGTGGTAGTGGTGGTAGTGGTAGCGGTGGTGGCGGTATGCCTGGGATGGGAATGCATGGTCGTCGTCGCGTGTCATCGCATTTGGGCTATCCAAAGGGAAATACGCGTCATAGTCCCCTCCGCTTTTGGTTGCATGTTGTTTGTCTGGCAGAGCAAGGCGGACAAAGTTTCGTCCCCTAAGGACCCCTCCTCGCAACAAGACGCCAGCACCGGGGGCAAGGCCTCTGACAAGCCTGCAGCAGGGGGAGGAGGCGAGGAGAAGAGCAAGAAAGACAAGGCTGGGGGCAAGGGGTCCAGCCAAGATGGGGAAGGGAAGACGGAGAATGGTGGTGGTAGTGGTAAGGGCGAAGGGAAGGGGAGACAGAAGAAGAAAGGGAAGGAGCAAGTGGTTCCCGCACCTGCAGTTCCTGCTCCGGTGACCGCCGCCGTGCCTGCGAACTCGGTTTGGAAAGCCAAGCCTGCCGCGCTTCTGCTTCGGCCAGAGGCTGGGAAGGCGCAGGGACAGAATCAGCAACAGGCGCAGAGCCAGCAGCAGCCTCACCAGCAGAAACAGCCACCACAGCAGCAGCAGCAGCAGCAGCAGGGGAAGCAGGAAGGAAAGGCGACAAGAGAATCGCAAGTGAAATCAGATACTACCGTCGCCCCTTCTTCTTTGCCTCCTCCGTCGGTACCCCCTCCCATCAAAACCACAACCACCGTGTCCCCAGACCCTCCCGCTTCTTCCGCCCACCTCCCACCCTCCACTTCCCTTTCCGTCTGGACGAAAGACTCCTCTCTCCACTCCTCCACCCTCCACACCTCCTCTCTCCATTCCGCTCCCCCTTCCTCATCCTCCTCCTCCTCCTCCTCCTCCACCACCCCCACTGAGTGCGAGTTTTCGACCACCTCGGGTCTCTCCTCCCCGCCCTCCTCCTTCCCCTCCACCCCGCGCGCCATGACCAGCCTTTCCCCTTCCGCCAGCATGAGCAGTTGCGCCGACCATCTCGCGCCCGAGCCTGTCACCGAACCTGCTTCGAGCCCTGCTGCCGAACCGGTTGCCGAGCCTAGCGTCGTGGGTTCGGAAGCACCGTCGTCGAGTGGGGAGGGTGGTAGGAGGGTGGGTACTGAGGTGAGCATACAGGACGGGTTGCAGGAGAAGGCAGATTCGCAGGTACAGCAGCAGCAGCAGCAGCAGCAGCCACCTCAGCAACACCAGAAACAGTCGCAGCAGCAGCAGCAGCAGCAGCAGGATAAGGTGGTGGTTGCTGAAGATGTTGCAGCAGCAGCAGCAGCAGCAGCAGCAGCAGAGGCTAGCAAGGGTAGCAGTGTGTCGAACGCAAGCAATGCTGCCGGTTCTGGTGACGCCAGTCCCGCGGCAAGCACTGTTGCAACCGGCGCCGTCCCCAGTGCCACTGCTAGCAACGTGGCTGCCTCTGTAGGTGCTACTAACATGTCGACTGCTGGAGATATGCCTGGCGCTGCAGTTGCGCGTAGCCCCACTGGTGGTCTGCGCCGGTGGAGTGATGCCTGCCGGTTTGCCCTTGAGACGAATCGCCGGCGAGTCTATGTGCGGCAGTTGCAAGAGTAAGACCCTCTCCCATGCACTCTCAAACCATGTGTTCACCCCGTTTCCTTGTAAGGACCCCCTTGAGACGAGCGAGTCTATGTGCGGCAGTTGTAAGAGTACGTTCCCGAGGCACCTTGTACTGTGTCAGTGAGGGGATGTCCTGGCCATAGGCTCTAGTGGCCGGCGAGTCTATGCGCGGCAGTTGCAAGAGTAAGTACTTTTGACACCTTGTAATGCGATAAAGAAAGGATGTCTTGACCATATGCTCTAGTGGCCGGCGAGTCTATGTCAAGAGTAAGACCTCCTCCTGTGCGCTCGGACCTTGGACGAGGTCCGAGTGCTGGGCACAGGGGGGCGTCCTGTGCTTTTTTCTCTTCTTTTCGTGTCCAATCTGCATTCCAGGCTCGGCTCCCCCCTGGGCAAGGCAGCGCAGGGTGCATGGGGGCGACCTGGGTGGCGACCCTCAAAACTCCCCTCACTTTCTCTTGTCGTTCCCCATCCCCTCCCCCCGCCCCCCCCCCCCCCCCCACCCCCGCCGCCTTTCTTTCTCTGCTTATTACCCATGCTCCTCCTTCCAGGCTGGGCTTCTCCTTGGGTGAGGCAGCGCAGTCTGTTATGGTGCAGAGGGGCGACCTGGGCGGCCATACTCTCTTCTCCCAGTCAATTTCTCCTTTCCGCATTTCCGTCGCTCCTCTCCCTCTCTCATTCTCTCCAGGCTCGGCTTCCCACTGGGCGAGGCGGCGCAGGCAGTGCTTGTGCACGGGGGCGACCTGGGTGGCTGCCTCAACCACCTGCTCGTGCTGCACGAGTGCTCCTGCCGGCCTTCTGCTCTCTCTGCCTCCACGCCCTCCCCATTCGTCGTAAGTGCCCCCCCCTGCACTCGTCGTTTGCCGTCTGACCACCCTTGCTGAGAGTCCTGGTTGGCTGCCTCAACCACATCTGCTCGTGCTGCACAAGTGCTCCTTCTGCCCCTCTGCGCTCTCTGCTTCCACGCCCTCCGCATTCGTTGCAGCCCCAGATTCATTAAGCAGTTCATGTTTCCCCTCCCTGCTCCATCCTACGAGCCATGCCTGCCAGTGATTCCTACTCTTGATCGCTGCTATCAACACCTACTGTTAGTCACACTTCATGTCCCCGTGACTAATTGCCCCTCCCCTCTTGCCTGATTGGCCGCTGTTCTGCTGGCTGCTTGCAGGATATCTCACTCGAGTTGCAAGCACTCTCTGAGATCATGTCAGCTGGATCGCTGCCCCAGGTACGAATTTACCCTCTGGGTCTTTCACACGAATTTACCCAGCTTGCCCACTTCCCGCCATGCATCCGTCCTTGCCCAACCCGTGTTGCACCTGCTCGCTGCCCGTCATGCTATCTTCTTTGCACTTGCCCGCTTCCCACTTCATCTCCAGCTTTGTGTGCCATGTTCCGTTTTGGGTTCCGTTTTGGGTTCCGTTTTGGGTTCCGTTTTAGGTTCCGTTTTAGGTTCCGTTGTAGGTTTGAAATTTGCGTGTGCGTCTCCCATCTGTGGCTCCATATTCCTCCTTCCCCTACCCTCTCACCAGGACCTATTGGAGCATGCACTCGCGCTCGACCTCTGGTGACATCACCTACGCCCTTTGGGTCGTCTCGCGAGTCACTCATTCATCTCCTCCATTCTCACCCCATCCCCCTCCCCTTTGTTTTTTTTCACCAGGACCTATTGGAGCATGCCCTGGTGCTGGCCTCTGGTGACATCAGCCACGCCCTTCACCTCATCATCTCACATCCGCACGGCCTCCCCTCCTCCCTCCCCTCCACGCAACCCTTCCCCTTCTACTCATCACCCCTCTCCTCCTCCACCACCACAACCACCACCACTGCCGCCACTGCTGCCACTGCCACCACAACCACTTCCTCCTCTCCTCACTCTTCTCTCCCCCCTCCTCACCCCTTCCTTTCCAACCACTGCATACCTCAGCATCCTACTGCCTTCCCTGTTGGTCCCTCTGACCCAGTATTTGCACATCTTTCCCGCTCTTCCTCTCCCTCCCCCTCCCCCTCGCCACCCTCTCCCCTCCCTGATTACACTGTCGCATCTCCTGCTTCCTTCTCTCATACCCCCTTCACCACACTCACTCCCACCACCACCCCCTCCTCCTCCGTCCACCATACATCTCTCCTCTCTGGTATTTGGTCCAGCTCATCGCCGAATCTCCCGTCTGCTGCCCATGCCAGCCCCGTACCTCCTCCTGGGTTTGGCCCGAGCCTTAGTGCCTCCCCAGCTCCACTTGGAAACAGCTCCAGCTTCGGTACTCTTGAGACTCCCCCGAACCTCTCCTCGGGCAGTGGGTGGAATTTCAACGGTCTGCCCGAGCTGAAATCGCAGCAGCGTGCCGAGCCTGTGGGCGGGTGTGAAGCCACGAGGAAAGTTTATGTGCCCGAGAGCATAGGACGGCTGTGGGGAGGGGCAGGAGGAGCAGGCATGGCAGCACAGGAGGATTCGCAGTGGTTGTGTGGAGTGAACAGTGACAGGAGCAGTGGCACTGCTAGTGGACTCAGCAGCTGCAGCAACAGCAGCCATGGCTACTCGCAATTTTCTGAAGATGACGGGCTTGGTGATTCTCTGTTGCTGTTGCCAGGGGATGAGGAGGATCTGTTTTCCCGGATTCTCCCTGGATTGCTGGGGTAGCTCAACCTGCTCAAGTTTTTGTTGAAACGTGAGGAGAATGAAGGTGTGCATGGGGGGATGCTTGCTTTGAGTGGTACCGGTATGCTTCGAGTGTGTTATAAGCTCTCTTCTTTTGGCCCGGCATCTTGCTGGGCCTGAATTGGAAATGGAATCTTGTGGAATGTCGCTGCTGTCCTTCTAAAGGGCAGGTCCTGGAGGGATTTTGGTCTTAAAATATTTCATACGCGCAAAACAATGCTGCGCTTCTTGCTTGTGTCCATAATTGTGATATTTCTTTGTAGAAGTTAGCTGCTCAAAGTAATTTAGGTAGCTAGACATCCTCCATCCATAGCTGGAGTCTGACCACCTCCCACTTTTCGCACCAGACCTTACCCCACTGTACCGCACTGAAACCTCACGACGACATTTTTTGGGATATTCTCTAGGGCCTTGCCTCACAGGGCCTCACCAAAAAGGGCCTGGCCTTTCGATCGCCATCCGATCCAACGGCTCACGACTCACGAGCAGCCGCGTGGTCAACAAGGGTTTCCCCTATTCTTTTGCCTTATGTGTTGTCGACGGCTGGATTTGTGTCATCTACCATATGTCACTGCTGTGCTAGGCCAAGGTGTCTGAGGGCGCGTTCTAGGCTCGGGACAAGCCTCGAGGCAAACTTCCGTGCATCCGCTCTACGGAAGAGATTGCCCGAGCCCCAACTTTGATTCATCGTGTCCGTATAATTGATGCCCCGAAGTTCTGCCTCGAGGCTTGCTCCGAGCCCAAAACGCGCCCTGACCAGACGCGGGGAGACTCGTAGTCCGAGGGGAGTAAGACTTTCAGGCGACCGCAGTTACGTTCAGGCAGCGTCTTGTGGCACTGACACTTACAGTCGCGATGCGCGGTAGGAACGGACGGTTGAACGGAACGGACGGACGGACGGACGGACGGACGAAACTGTTTCCACGATGGAATCATATCGGCACGCGTGCAGAACTTCCCCGCACACGCAACGCGCAGGTGTCGGTGTGCGTTGTTACTCTTACTACACCAGGATCCCAGCCTCGTGTCGCAGACGCAGAAAGGAGCTCCGAATCCGACGAATCGCGGTCCGAATCGCGGTCCGAATCGCAGTGCGAGGATCGATGTCGAATTACGGGAAATTCTAATTTCGGAGTCTCGCGTTGTGAGTGGCTGAGCTGCGCCTTCCCCTTCAGTCCCTCTTGCCAGGAGTACACTCCACGCGTCCCTGTGAATCCCACTGCCTGCCGCTACCCCCCCTCCCCTTCTACTTCCCCGCAGTCTTTCCTTCTGGTATTTAACGCGGCATTTCCGCCGACTTCGAACCTCACCGAATACCACTCAATCCTGCTCGCTTTTGTCAACTCATCCTACCATCCTTCGATCCTGAACAGCAGACTGAGACATTTGTTTCAACTCATCCTCCCACCCACCTGATCTCCAACGTCAGTTTAGACATTCATTTCTACGTCAACTGGAGCATCAGCGATTCTCTCAGGCCATCCTTTTAAAATTCTCTGAGGCAAATTCCACCGTGCTGCGCCTCATTCCCGCCTGCGCCCAGTGCGGGAGCCATTATTCTCGATTAGTGCAGCAGCCACCATGCCGCCCATGACAATCCTACCTCCTCCGCGTCCGCTCCTCCTCCTCCTCCTCCCGCTGCTGCTGCTCTCCGCCGCGCATCTCTCTCTCCCCGCGCGCGCGCAGGAGTGCTCCGCCTCCGTTCCTTGCGCCGACAACCTCTGCTGCAGCAAGTGGGGCTGGTGCGGCTCCACTGACGAGTACTGCGGCGCTGAATGCCAATCCGGGCCCTGCACTGGTTCTGGTTCCGACGTGCAGTGCGGAGCAGGGAACGGCGGCAGCGTGTGCCCCGACGGTCTCTGCTGCAGCGAGTGGGGCTGGTGCGGCTCCACCGACTCCCACTGCGGCTCCGGCTGCCAGTCCCAATGCTCCGGGACCCCTTCCCCTTCCCCTGATCCCCCTCCCTCCGGATCCCCTTCCCCTCCTCCCCCGACGTCGGACCCTCCACCAACTGGCACCCCGCCCCCGTCTGGTCTGAACCGCATGGCGTACTTTGTCAACTGGGCGGGCATGGACCCATCTGCCGTGCCTGCTGCCTCGCTCACACATGTCTTCTACGCCTTTGCTAGCGTCGACGCCACCACATACGAGGTACAGTGGGCTCGCACCTGTCCCCCATGCTAGGCACTGCAAGGCTTTCGCCAGCTCACCACGCTCGCTGTTTTAGGTCAGACCCTGGCTCTTTTAGCAGTCCTGTCCCAAGTTTCACACCGTTTTCCCCCCTTGAAGGTCAGGCTCCAACACTTTCTTGCCCCGCCCCTTTTCGTCCCATCATCCCTTCTTTTTGCCCCTTCCCCCCCCTTCTCTTAAATGGTCTCCTGTGTTTCTTCTCTGCCAATCCAGGTGGTCCCATCCGACCGTGCTGTGGACGTCGACCAGGGCCTCTACCTGAGCTTTAACTCCGCCCTTAAGACCGCCAACCCGTCACTTAAAACCCTCCTCTCCATCGGTGGCTACTCTGCCGGCACCAATGTCTTTGTCAACGCCGCCTCCTCCGAATCCTCCCGCTCCGCTTTCATCCAATCCGCAATCTCCCTCGCCCGCACTTACAACTTCGACGGCTTAGATCTTGACTGGGAGTACCCCACGGGCCAGGCTTCCCTCTTCTCCGCCCTGCTCACCGATTTCCGGGCAGCAATCGAATCCGAAGCTGGTTCGTCAGGGAAACCGAAGCTCCTTCTTTCCGCAGCGGTATCCTGCTACGAGCCGACCATCAACGACGCCTACGAGGTTCCGATGCTTGACAAAACCCTGGACTTTGTTAATGTGATGACGTACGATATCCACGGGTCGTGGGAGCTGAAGACAGGCATGCAGACTGCTCTGGAGGATCCAAGCAACCCGCAGCTCAGCCTCAAGGGCGCCATGGCTGCCTGGATCACCCGAGGTTTGTCCCCAAGCAAGGCCATGCTAGGCTTGGCGATGTATGGCCGAACCTGGACTCTTGCCTCGACGAGTGATACTGGGGTTGGAGCTGCTGCCACTGGTGCTGGTCAGGCTGGGCCCATCAGTCAGGTTAGTTCGCTGTTCCTCCCTCCCTCTTCTATTCTTCTTGCTTCCCCCCCCCCCACCCCCTCCTCGCTCCCTGGATAAAAGGAATTCTCCTCCTTTCCTAGCTGTCGACTTTTTGTATGTGCTAAATGTCTATCAGTGTTGTCGAATTAGGTATGTTGCTTAAAACTCTTGTCACACCCTTACTTTAACTATCTGTTTCCCCTGCACCTTACCAACAGGAACCTGGCATCCTCTTTTACGAGGAAATTGAGCCGCTGGTAACCACTGGAGGTTACACGGCTACACTTGATACCCCGTCGTCATCCATGTATGCGGTGAACGGTGACCAGTGGGTTGGTTACGACGACCCTTCCACCATCACCACCAAGGTTAACTATGCCAAGGCGGAAGGCTTTGGAGGGTGGTTCTTCTGGGCTTTGAGCCAAGATGCCAACGATGCCTTGGTCAATGCTGCAGCGGCTGCATGAGATGATACTTCAAGACGAGTGTCCAAGAGCTGAAAGTGGTATGGGAGAATAGTGTCAAACATATATTATTTTTGTATAGACTGTACAGGTTTGTGCCTTATAGGTTATACTCCCTTTTACTCTCCCATTCAAGTTCATTCTCTCATTCTAACATGGTATCATGAGTATGTTAGGTCCATCTAGCCTGCCCGCGCTTCCGCCCTAGGCCCTAGCCGCCCCCGTGCCCGTTCCTAGCCGGCCCCTTGCGCCCCTCGCGCCCGTCCCTAGCGCCGTCGCGCCCCGCGCGCCCGTTCCTGGCCGGCCCCTAGTGCCGTCGTGCCCGTCCTAGCCGGCCCCATGTGCCCCCCCCCGTCGCGCCTGTCCTAGCCGGCCCCACGCACCCTCGTTGCGCCCGTCCTAGCCGGCCCTCTCGCGCCGTCGCGCCCGTGCTAGCCGGCCCCTAGCGCCCCCGTCGCGCCAGTCCTAGCCGGCCCCACGCGCCCTCGTCGCGCCAGTCCTAGCCGGCCCTCTCGCGCCGTCGCGCCCGTCCTAGCCGCCCCCTAGCGCCGTCGCGCCCGTTCCTAGTCGGCCCCTAGCGCCGTCGCGCCCGCTCTTAGCCAGCCCCTAGCGCCGTCGTGCCCGTCCTAGCCGGCCCCTCGCGCCCCCTCCCCCGTCGCACCCCTCCTAGCCGGCCCCTAGTGCCGTCGCGCCCGTTTTGCGCCGGCCCCTCGCACCCCCCGTCGCGCCCGCCCCTAGCCGGCCTCTTGCGCCCACTCCTAGCCGGCCACTCGCGCCCGCCCCTCGTCGGCCTCGGGCCCACTCCTAGCCGGCCCCCTCGCGCCCGCCCCTCCTCGGCCTCCCGCCCGTTCCGCGCCGGCCCTGACCTCGCTTCGTCGCCGGCCCACCTCCGACTCGTGCCCGGCCCTTCCTACCCGACTTGCACCGCACTGCACCGCCCGGCACCCCTTTGCACCGCACTGCACCGTAGTGCTCCTCTCTGCATCGCTCTGCACCTCACTGCACCGCACTGCACAGCATAGCACCGCCCTGCCTCCCTGCTGCACCGTTCCTGATTGCGGCCGTGCTTCGCCTCGACGCTGAGGGTCAGCCGCTTGAGTTTGACGCGTGGCTGGTCGACCTCCGTCGCCATCTCACTGGTCAGCGGCAGGATGGCCACTCGCTGTCTGTCCACCTTGACGGATGCTTCCCTGCCCTGACCCCCCTGCTGCACTGCCCGCTGACCCCTCGTCTGCTGAGCGTGAGTCCTCTGCAGCTGCTGCCCTTGCTCGCTCAGTCTGGTTGCCGCGTGATGCCGTTGCGCAGCTTGCTATCAGTCATGCCCTCCCCCTGTCTGAGCGCCCTCGCTTTAGGTCGGTCACGACTGCGCAGGAGTTCCTAGATGCTGTTATCCAGCGCTATTCCACCCCACCCGCTGCCTCTATAGGTCGCCTGATCCTACCGATGCTCTTCCCTGACCTTGCGTCTTTCCCCACTTTCGCTGACCTGGCCGTCCACCTGCGCACGATAGACGCGACCTGGCGCTCTGCCTGTACTGAGACCCAGCTTAGAGCCCATCAGCCGCTCCTCAGCTCCGCCCTCTACCTACTTGCCACCTGCCTCCCTGGCCGTCTTGCCACTGCCCACGACCGCTTTCTTAGCATCCACCCCGATGACCTCACCCTCACTGACTTTGTTGACACCCTGTCTGCCATAGAGACCCGCCAGCGCTCTATCGCCCAGACCAGTGGTACTTTGCCGGTCCCTATCTTTCAGGGTTGTGCCCCTGCTCAGTGCACTTTCTCCGACGGTTCCGCTGCTGTGGCTGAGACTGCAGCTGCAGCGCAGTTCCGTCGGGGGAAGGGTTGCCGCCCCAAGGCTGGGCGCGGCGGAGGGGGTGGCGGTGCCGGTGGAGGTGGTGGTGGAGTCAGGTAGCTTGGTGGTGGCGCGGACGAGGGGACTGTGCCTGGTGCAGCCGAGCAGCCGTCCCAGCAGCCGCAGGCATCGCAGCCGGACCAGCACCAGCCGCAGTAGCAGCCCCAGCACCAGCCGCAGCAGTGGCAGCAGCCGCAGCAGCAGAGGCGGGTGAGTGGTCTCCCGCCCGGGTGGCCTGGCGCTGGTGGCGGCGGTGGACGTGGTGGTGGCCGTGCGCATGGTGTGCCTCCGGGTAGCAATTCGGGTGACGGGCGCTGCCAGTACCAGCTCCAGCCCGGTCCTCGCTGCGGCTCCATTTGTGGTAAGATCGGTCACACCCCTGTCCGCTGCTTTCATCGCCTTGGCGACCTGTTTCGTCTTCGCTTCGGCCCGTCACCCGACCTCCCTGACTGGTACAGCTTGCTTTGCCGTAGTATTCCGATCTTTGATATGGACATGGATGAGCTTAGCTCTGCCTTGTATGTGCTATATGTTGATAACTCTAGTGTGACTAGTTTTTACTACCCTGTGTTGCCTAGTGTAGGTGTGTCTAGACTTGCCTCCCCTGTTGCGTCAGGCATAGGATCCCTTGCCTTGTTTAGCCTTGGTTCCTCCCTCGCTGCTCCGACTCCGGCCGCCACTGCTGCGCTCTCCTTCACCCTGGACTCTGGCACTTCCCGGTGTTTCTTCCACGACTCCACTACGTTGACCCCACTTGCTGCTCCTGCCGCGGTTTCCCTTGTTGACCCCTCCTCCGGTCCGATAGTCGCCCGTAGTTCTACCACCCTTCCCTGTCCAGCGGCTCCTTCAGGCTCGCTTAGAGGCTTGCACGTCCCCTCGTTTTCCAGGAACCTAGTTGGTCTTGGCTGCCCCCAGGACCTTGGCGTCACCACTACGTTCCCTGGTCACGAGCGGTTTGCTGTCTGTACCGAGGTCGCCACTGGTGCTCCCGTCACCACGTTCCCCCGGGACCCGGTGTCTGGCCTATTCACACTGGACACCGCGCCCACCCCCGGTTCGGACGCCTCCCCAGGTAGCTGCCTCTTCTCAGGTTGCTGCGGCCTGCTCGCGTCGGTCGCTTACTCACCAGACCCTCCTTTTGAGAGTACGACCCCGTTACACCACTTGTCCCTTTCCCTATCTCCTTTCTATTTCATCTCTCTTTTTATCCCATCTTATTTGGATTCCTTTTCTCCATTTTCCATTATCTTTTGGTTTATCCTGTTATTATAATTATATCACCGACCAGGCTGGGGATGTACATGCGCGCTATATCTAGCGTAATCCTGCCGTAATCCTTTAGAGCCAATAGCCTCGCGTGGCTATACGCAAGGTGATTCTATATTCTAGAAGGGTCTATTCCTTTTGGATAGGATAAACCTGGTTACCTGATGTACTCTGGAAGTATAAAAGCGCCTTGTACTCATCGATAGTGCGATCTTTCCTCCACACATTCGATCCTGTGACACTCAAGTGGCACCACCGTCTAGGTCTCCCTGCGCTCCCCCGTCTGCGTCACATGTCACATCACGGTCTTGTCCTCGGTCTCCCAGGTTCGTTCCCAGAGTTGCCCCCCTCCACAGCGCCACCGTGCACGCCCTGCGTCGAGGGTCGGCTCCGCCGTGCCCCTCACTCCTCCTCTTTCCCCCCCACCACGGCACCGCTACAGACCTTGCACATGGACGTCTGGGGCCTCGCCCCCGTCCATGGGCCGCATCGAGAGCGCTACTTCCTAGAGCTTGTCGACGACTACACGCGCTACACCACAGTGTTTCCCCTGGAGCGGAAGGCCGACGTGCCTAACGTCCTATCCCGTGGCTTGTCTCTTCGCGTGTCCACCGCGGTCTCCTTGTCTTGCGTCTTCTCTTCGACCGTGGTGGTGAGTTTGCCTCCGGCGTCCTTGGTCGCTTTTGTCGTGCGGAGGGCATCACCGAGACATTCACCCTACCGGACTCCCCGCAACAAAATGGGGTCGCTGAGTGACGCATCGGTTTGGTCATGGAGGTGGCTTGTACCTCCATGATCCACGCCGGTGCACCCCATTTTCTGTGGCCGTTCGCAGTTCTCTCAGCGCTCACCAGCTTAACCTGTGGCCGCACCCTCAGCAGCCGTAGGTTTCGCTGACCCTTCTTTGGACCGGGTCTCCTGGTGACGCGTCTGCGTTCCACGTCTGGGGCTGTCTTGCTCACGTTAGTGCCTCTGGCACGGACAAGCTTACTGTCTGCATAGTCCCCTGTGTCTTCCTTGGTTTCCCCCTTGACTCGTCAGACTGGCACTTCTACCAGCCGCCGTCCCAGCATTTCTTTCACTCCCGCGACATCACCTTTGACGAGTCCGTCTCCTTCTACAACCGCTTTCCCCACCGTGGTCCCCCGGTTACTCCCCCCCTGATCCTGGTTCCCCGTCCTTGGTCGCACCTGCCCCTCCCCCTCCCTGTCCTGCCCCGTCTGCTGTGTCTCACGTCACCCCCCTCCCGTCGGTTGTCCCGGTTGAGGAGTCTGCTGACTCTGGTGGTCCTGCGGCGCAGTCCTTGCTGCATGCCCCTCCCCCGGTGTCTCCTCCTCCACCGCCTCCGCAGCCGTTGTCGCAGCCGCAGCAGCCGACGTCGCCGCAGCAGCAGCAGTCGTTGCCATCGCAGTCGCAGCCGCCGCAGCCGCCGTTGCAGCCGTTGTCTCCGCCGCTGTCGCAGCAGCCGTTCGTCGCCTCTGGGGGGTGCTGGAGTTGGGGTGGGTACCCGTCCTAGGGTTCCTGCCGTGGCTTGTCCCGGCGGGCCTGGGGGTGGTACCGGTGCTGGAGGGGTTTTCGGGCTCTGGGGGTGTTCCTTCAGGGGGTGCAGGAGTGGAGTGTTCCGGAGGTAGCCGTGGAGCAGCTTGCGGCCCCGGTATCGGTGTTGTGCCGGCGCAGCCGCAGTCACCGCCGGTGTCAGCCCTTCGCCTGTTCGGCCTTCCGTCCCCTGACCCTGCGTCTGTTCCTCTCCTGCCGTCCCCTTCTCTTCCTGTCTACGGCCCTGTGTTCCCTCCCCCGGACTGGTCTCCAGCTCGTCTCCCCCCTCGTTCCCATCTTGTGTCTCCTCCTCTGTCTCCTGACCCGACGCCTCCGTCTCACATCTGGTCTCGCCGTCCCTCCCGTGCTCGCCCTGTCTCCCCTGTCCCGCGCTCTCACCTTATGTTGCTTCGTTCCCACGCGTCTCATCCTCCCCTCCTACCGTCTCCTCCTCCGTCCTCCCTTGTCGTTGCGCCTCCCCCTCTGTCTGACTACCTTCGTGCCGCTCGTCCTCTTGTTCCTCGGGTCCATGCCTTTCTCGTTATTGACCCGTCTATTCCGGTTTTGCGTCTTGACGCTCTTGTCAATGCGGACGCTGACTTTGCCTTTACCCGCCGCCTTGATTATGCCACCGCTCTGGTCTCTGACCCTGCCTGTCCTCCGTCTGTCGGTGGTGATCCTGCCCTCGGCAATGACGTCCTGGAGGACCGCCAGTATGAGCTTGGTTTCCTGTCCGAGGCTCCTCCCCATCTCTGTTCCATGCTGCTAGTCCCTGAGGATGACCCAGACGCTTTCGATATCCCGACCCCTTGCACTTACGCTGAGGCGGTCTCGGGACCTTGGGCCTCTCAGCGGATAGCTACCATGGAGCAGGAGATGGCATATTGGCGATCCACCGGCACCTACGTCGACGCAGTTCCCCCACCGGGGGTGAACGTAGTCGATGGCCGCTGGCTCTTCAAGGTGAAGCGCCCTCCTGGAGAGCCGCCTGCATTCAAGGCGCGCTACGTGGCTATAGGTTTCAGTCAGCGTGAGGGGGTGGACTTCTTTCAGACCTTCGCTCCGACCCCAAAGATGACTACTCTTCGGGTGCCGCTACACGTAGCAGCTCAGCGTGACTACGAGCTTCACTCCCTCGAATTCTCCACTGCGTTTCTTCAGGGCAGTCTACACGAGCAGGTCTACCCGCGCCGCCCTCAGGGTTTCACTGGTACCTTCCCTCCTGGAACCCAGTGGCTCCTGCGACGCCCCGTCTACGGCCTACGACGGGCTCCCCGTGAGTGGCACGACACGCTGCGTGCTACGCTTGATGACCTGCAGTTCTTTCCGTCCTCTGCAGACCCCTCTCTCTTCGTTCGTTCTGGCCAGATTCCATTCTGCATCCTTGTTTACGTAGACGACCTGGTCTTCCTCACTGCCAACATGGACACACTGGCCTCGGTGAAGGCAGAGCTGCTGAAGAGACACAGCTGCACTGACCTTGGAGAACTGCGCCACTTCCTTGGCTTACGGATCTCCAGGGACAGAGCAGCGCACACCATCACCCTCACTCAGTCACACTTGGTGCGCCAGGTCCTTCAGAGGTTCGGCCTTCAGTTCTCCTCTGCACAGCCCACCCCTCTGCCTGTAGACCACAGGCTCCCTGCTCCAGTTCCTGAGGAGTCAGTAGAGTCCAGTGGCCCTTACATAGAGCTGGTGGGTTGCCTCATGTACCTGATGACTTGCACTCGCCCAGATCACGCATACCCTCTCAGCATCCTGGCTCGCTTTGTGGCCACAGGCAGACACCGACCTCAGCACTGGTCTGCCGCTAAGAGGGTTTTGCGTTATCTTGCAAGTACATCGGGCATGGGGTTAGTGCTAGGAGGGCCCATGCCAGTGGTCCTTACTGGGCACACAGACGCTTTGTGGGCAGACGACGCCGAGACCTTTAGGTCCTCGCAGGGCTACTGCTTTAGCCTTGGTTCAGGTGATGTCTCGTGGAGAGCTACTCGCTCCTCGTCTGTTGCCCAGTCCAGCTGTGAAGCCGAGATCTACGCCGGTGCCATGGCGGCACAGGAGCTTTGCTGGCTGACCGTCTTGCTCATTGACTTAGGTGAGCGGCCTAGCTCTGCCCCGGTCCTGTACGCGGACAACAGGGCCATGATCCTCCTGTGTCAGGAGCCGCGACTCGAGGGCAGAGCGAAGCACATCCAGCTGCGGTGTTTCCTCCTGCGTGAGCTACTGCAACGCCACCAAGCTCGCGTAGTACACTTTGCCTCCGGTGCCTATACAGCTGATATCTTTACGAAGGCGCTTGCGCCTAAACATCATCAGCGGCACTGTGTACAGCTAGGTCTTGTTCTTGTAGCCTCTCACTTGCTGGGGCCTTGACTGTGTACAGACCTTTATATATATCTTACCCTGACTGGCCTTGTGGCCTCTCCTAGTGGCTGGACTAGTAGTGCCGCCCTGGTTCTGCTTTTGGCTTGGCCTGTACTCGTTTGACTGGTCTTTAGACCCTTTCCTCAGAGGTCGGACTAGTAGTGCCACCCTGAGCTGCTCGTTCTCTCGTTAGGAACTGCTCCTATACAGTCCAAGGGGTGTGTCAACCATATATTGTTATGTTTGTATAGGTTTGTGCCTTATAGTGTACAGCTTCTAGGTTATCTTCCCTTGTACTCTCCCATTCAAGTTCATTCTCTTATTCGAACAAATAGAGCCTCTTTTCGAGCATAGCTTACTGTGCTACCTTGAATGCCTCTGCTTGTTCGGAGGGGGGATTTGACAAGCTTGCAAAATTTTAATGGAGTGGAAGTATCATTTTCCAGGGTGACGTCATGTGTAAGGAATTTTCCATTCCTTACCGAGCGGTACTGCTACCGTATTCCCCCTGATATACGCACCGTCGGCTAAAACACACCATGGTGCGTATATCCGGAGGGGTGCCATATCGGATGTGCCAGATATACGCACCCCCTTTTTGCCTAGGTCTAATCCCTACACGCACCCCCCTAATTTCCGTGGGGAAATTATAAAAAAGGGTCCTCGCTTTGCCAGAGGCGTGAGCAAAAAAGGATCGGCTACTTTCTGCTTCACGGACCTCGCCTCCGAACCTGAAATACACTTCTTTCTTTGTTTAGTACTTTAAACATTTATGGGACATTTGCGGTACCATTCAACATTTCTCAACGGGAAAAAAAAAAACTAAAACCCATTGGGGATCGAATTTCGTTCCGAGTGGCATCAACCCTAAACACGCGGCCCTTTTGCGAGTTTAGGGTTGATGCCACCCCGAGTCGCATGCGGTGCCCCTATGGGTTTTAGTTTTTTTGTTTGTGCCCTAATGTAGTACATTGAATTCGTATAAATGTCCCACCACAGGGTTACGACACGAAGCACCCCCATGAACCTGCAAATATGTGACCCAGTGATGTGTGCGTATTGTATGACAAATGAGCTGTAGCACAGGCTCGGAGACAAGGTCTCGGGGCAAAAAGATGCCGGACCTTTTTTTGCTCACGCCTTTGGCAAAGCGAGGACCCTTTTTTATCATTTCCCATTTCCGTGCGCCGACTCGGGTTGACCGCATTTTCCGTCAGATTTAATTTGAAATTCGCCTACCCAATCATTTCTTCACATGGAATCGACCTTGCCACGCGAAATCTGGTCAGCATTGCTCAACTGTAGTGTGACGAGATGAACAGATGTTCGCGATCGACCCTTGCTTGCTGGAAAAGTACAGCAACCTTGCCTACCTGGCGTGCCGATTTGGTCTCGAGCGGTTTTCAAGGGACTGTTCGAGGCGTTCCCGTTTGGGAGCACATCCACCCGAATGGAAATTGTTCGAGCTACATTTTCATGCTAGTTAATGAATTTTCCAAAATCCCTTTATTTCGCATCGTGCCATGTGAAATTAATTCAATTATAAGCACCCCCAAAATTTTGACTATAATCTCTATACGCACCTAGTGACGTATATCCGGGGGAATATGGTATCGCGTACGCTCGATTATACCCGAAGCCTCGGGACTGTTCTGGACCATTCTGACGGAACCGCCTTGGCTTCTCCTGACCTTCTGGTTCGAACCTTCGGGAGTTCTCCGGCAGGGCTGACGTTTCAAAAAAAGGCACTCTGATTTTGCCCCCCCAAAAAATTTCCCGAGTATGAAGGGCCATTTTTCAATTTTTCGATACTCTGAAATCTCAGTGTCCAAGAGTCAATGAGTCTGAAATACTCGGGGTTCAGAATGTCGACTCAGAGTCCTGCGCCCAAGTCGAAATCTTATATTTTCAGAGTTCACACCAGGCCCCACGATTGGTTTTAGGGTACCATGATTGCTCAGTGTCAGGTTCCAAAAAGAAACTTTTCATGAGCCTCCTCAAGAAAATTTACGTTGATTCATCAGTGTCTCCTAGCAAAAGTTCACTTTTTTTTCATCAGGGTCGTGTAAAAAAAAAACACTGATTTGGCAACGAGAGAGGATTTTTTTTTTTTTTCCACATTCTAATAACAGTCGTTCCTATTGTAATAATTTGACAGGTGATGCAGGAGACTAAGTATAGAATCTGCAAACACGAAGACTTGGAAAATCTCATGTGTTAGCCTAGGATCTTTACTGGAAAGTTAGACTAGTAAGACAGCGGAAGTCTAGGAACTTGTTGAGTAGTTGCTGATAATTCTGAAGTATACAGTATGTCGTACGATTTTCAGAGAACAAGTTAACTAAAACAATGAAGACATGCTACTTTTATACCTAGCAGAAGTACCTGTTCGCTAATGTACCTGTTCGATACTATCGCGCCATGCGCCCTAAATGACACTGAAGGGACGCGACTGTTCGCGTGACTGAAACGATTGTCCTAATGACGAGCGCTATTTGCTGACGTCATCCTACAGACTTCTCTTCTACAGTAGGATTTGATACTATCTATCGATAATCGACTTACAGAAATGCTAAGTATGAATCATATCACAACACTCCCCTTCATTTTTGGAAGTCCGATAGTGTCACTTCTTGAAGATCCCGCAAAGCTCGTTATAGTACTGAAACTTCTGACGTGTCAGTTTCTTCGTGAGAAAATCTGCAGCCATTTCGTTGGTCGAATAGTAGACCAATCGCATCCTCCCCTTCTCAACTTCATCCTTGACGAAAAAGTAACGCAGTGAAATTCGTCCTGTTGACGAAGCCGAGATTGTGCGCGATGCGAATTGCGCTCTGGTTATCGCACTGCAGAGTAAATTGAGTACTCGTCATCAATTTCGCCTCTTCCAAAAGCTCCTGTAGGTAAAGTCCTTCGCACGTTGCTGTGCAGACATCGATAAATTCAGCTTCAGCAGAGGAGAGAGCAATCATCTCCTGCTTCGTCGAATTCCAAGAAATAGGCCCGATAGGTTCGAGGCGGTAGATAAATCCAGTACGCGATCGTCGATTAGTAGTGTCGGCAGCGTGATCAACGTCAACGAAACCGTTTAGATATCGTGTTTTACAGCTGATAACGTTGTAGACTAATCCGACGTGAGGAGTAGATATGAAGTATTGAAGCGCACGGAGAAGATCAAGTTGATGCTCCTCTTGAGGACGGCGTAAATGTTGGGCGAGTTGACTAGCCGCATAGGCTAGATCCGGACGACAAGTAACGGCGGCGAAAAGAAGACAGCCTAACTGCTGTTGATAAGTCTGTAGATAAGTGAGACTCAGTTGTGTAGTATTCGGTTTGTGATCTGTCAGTAGGGAACGGTGCGGTGTAGTGACTGTGGTAGGGGTGAGGTTGAAGCGGTCAGCAAGCGTAGCTGCGCACTTCGAAGCAGTTAGATGAATAGACGTGGATGAGCAGGTGATGTTCAATCCGAGAGACTGTGAGACAGATTCGGAGACGGTGAGCCGTAGGTTTTTCTGTAGTTTCTGTACGAAGATGTTGGCGAGTGATTCAGTCGTGCTAACATAGAGAATGTCGTCGACATAAGCGACGGGTAGAATGTAGTCGGTTCCAGCAGTTCGTAACAGAGGTGTACTTCGCGAACATCATCCGGGTCAGCATCAGCGAGTGGAATAAACTCCGGGATGCCAGATGACGTGACAGGTTCGGGAATGTCTGTGGCAGCAGCTTCGGAGGCCTCAGAAACTGCCTCGTCTTGTACAGCAGCTTCTGCTTCGTCGGTAGCGAATGCACGCAAGCCTTCGAACAGCCGGGGTTGGCAGCTGCTGCCTGGTGAGCACGAAAGACGTGTAAGGTGAGTCGCTTGAAGGCACAATCACATGAAAAGACGGCCTGTGTGAGAGTACAACCCCGTTACACTAATTTCCCCTTTCCATATTTCCTTTCTATTTCATTCCTCTTTTTATCCTCATTCATTTGGTATTTATCTCATCTCATTTGGTTTCCTATTCCTCCTTTGCCATTATCCTTTGGTTTATCCTGTTATTATAATTATATCACTGACCAGGCTCGGGATGTACTGGCGCGCTATATCTAGCGTAATCCTGCAGTAATCCCTTATAGCCAATAGCCTCGCGTGGCTATACGCATGGTGATTCTACTTCTAGAAGGGTCTATTTCCTTTGGATAGGATAAACCTGGTTACCTGATGTATTCTGGA